CATCGACTGGCTGATGATCCCGTGCCTGTTTCCTCGGTGACACAGATTCGTCACCATTATCAGAGGCCATGTACTTCTAACAACCAGCTTTGAAGAGTCAAAAGCCAAATTTTAGTAAGACCTGCACGTCCTCATTTCGTTTCTGTCAAGGACGGAACAAGTTCTTGCCCTATGTGACTTATACGCCCGTGTCGGGGCAGACCACGCTGACTGGAAGGGAACGTCAGTTCTCCATTGTCTCGGCGACTGCAACGCCAACGGCCACCTTCTTCTGAAATCTTCGCGGAAAATCGTCTTCTGCAGACCAACACCTTCTTTCGCCTTCCGACTGGGGAGAAGGTGACCTGGATGCACACTCGATGCGCACCATAATGGATCAAGGGACTGCTTTGCAGCGATGAAGACTATCTATTTGAAGAAGAAGAAGAAAAGTCGAGCACCGGAACGCTTCGTTTATTATCCTGAGCTTTCAGACTCGTACAGGAGTCTATCGTCAGAAGTAGTGGCAGAAACAGGACAAGCGGCAGTTATAAGGAACGTAGGCCCAATCATCGACCGACGTCGCACGACTGGAAGTGACTACGAAGGGCTCTGTACGCCGGCGCCAGATCGATAAATCGATTGACCGAGTTCTCATCCGAGGCCCAGGCTTCAATCAATTATTGGCCTGTTTTGTTTCCGGCGTGGGCGACTATTTTGGTGGCTGCGAAGTCAAACTCGTGACCCATTTCGTAGGTGTGGGCGGCCACTTGCGATAATGCGTCGCCTCGCCGCACAGCCAGCTTATGTTCGTGTATGCGCGATCCGAGCATGCATCCAGTCTGTCCTGTGTAGTAACAAGGACAATTTTGACACGGGATGCGATACACTACTCCAGATTGCTCTTCGGGTTTTAACCGGTCTTTGATTTTCATGACCCTGTTGTGCATGGTGGCTTTGGAGCGGTGTGTAATTCCAACACCTAGCTCCGCAGCAATGCGCTCGATCGCTTCTGAAACACCCTTGATGTATGGCAGAGAATGCCATATCGTCGGTGGTGTTGATGTTCGAGTTCTCTGGTGGCGACCGCGTAGGCAGCGACTTATGAATGCCCTCGGATAGCCATTTTGCACAAACTCGTCAAACTGGCGCCGGCCTACACAGCCCTTCGTAGTCACCTCCAGTCGTGCGACGTCGGTCGATGATTGGGCTTACGTGCCTTATAACTGCCGCTTGTCCTGTTTCTGCCAATATCTCTGACGATGGACTCAGGTACGAGTCTGAAAGCCCAGGATAATAAACGAAGTGTTCCGGTGCTCGACTCTTCTTCTTCTTCTTCCTTAAATATGCATACACCGGGAACTCGAAATTTCGCCTTCATTCGTGAAGACTATCTATGTCCATACCGTCAATGGAACCGTCTCGCGTCCCAGAACAACTCTTCCTGCCGAGAAACCCCAGATTACGAAGCGCTGGACCGCTGTGTTCTCAACCTCCCAGTGACCGTCTCCATCGCTATCGTTTGGCTCCATAGGGTAGAAATTATCAGCGACCTGAATCTCTCCCCCCCTCATTCACTCCAGAAAGCATCCGTGCTGCGCAACAACACTTTAGCGGGAACGTTCCAGGCTCCGATGCGATCCCAGCTGAAATCCACAAGTACGGCGGCGACGGAATTGTGGATCGTCTCACAGCGCTCTTCCGGGAGTTGTAGTGCGACGAACAGGATCCTTAGGACTTCAGGGACGCGACCGTTGTCTGTGCCTACAAACGCGAAAGGAACCGACAATTGTGAAATAACCACAAAGGCGACTCGCCTCTCAACAACTCCCGGAAGATTTTTGCCCACCTCCTCCTTAATCGTCTCAACAGCCAACTCAAGCAAAAGCTACTGTCGGAAATCCAATGTGGCCTCCAACGACACCCTGTGCCCGTCGACATGGTCTTCGCTGCTCGCCAGCTATAGGAGAAGTTCGAGGAGATGCAAACGTTGCTCCGCCCCACCCTTGTGGATCTGCTGAAAGTCCTTGACAGGTTGGAATGCGATGGACTGTGGAAAATCATACAAAAATTCGGCTGTTATGAGCGACTAACGCACATAGTACATCATCTCAACAAGGGAATGATAGCGTGTGTCGCAGAAAAGGGGGCAATCCCCAAAGGTATGCGGAGTAACCAATGCAGTGAAGCAGGACTGCGCACACCCTCCCTTGTCTCATGTTCTTTGCCATGCTGATTAGCGTCTACCGCGATGAACTCCCTGGGATACTCATCGTCTTCAGGACTGACGGACAACATCTCAATGACAGGCGCATGCTGGCTCCAACGCGGCTACGTTCGACTGCAGTCTACGACCTGCTCTTCGCGGACGACTGCGCTCTCAACCGTACGGCCGGAAAAGATGAATCCCTTTGCCGCTGGGTGCGCCAAATGCGGACTGGCAATCAACACGGACAAGACGGTGCATATGCACCAACGCAGAAATCAGCACCCTTCAGACCAATGTCAACGGCATCCTGCTTAAAACCGTAGACAAATTCGTTTATGAAGAAGGAGACAGGGTCGCTGGGACAAGAGTTTTATTAGCCTGACGTTTCGGATTCCTGCTCGAACCCATCATCAGAGACAAATAGCACATATGGGTGGTTCATCCGCAAGGGGCTGCAGTATTTATAGGATGCTGTCGCTATGCTACCGCATACCTATGAATATTCACGGCTCACCCTTTCATCGGGGATCGTTGCACGTCGTGTGATGGCCGACATTCGCGTCGTTACTTGTCGCAATCTCATTACATGCGTTAGATGTTGGTGTGATGACTGCTCGGCCATTTGACGCACTGACCCTGGCGTTGGGAAAAGTGTTCACCTGCGCGCTACCCGCATGACTAATAACTACACCTAGGCGAATTATCAGCACCGAGTACGGAATGGGAAGATCCTGCACTTTTTAATGGACTCAGGGCCAGTAAACCATGACTTAAGCAGCTCCCGGCTCACGCGGTTGTCACCTCTTGCGAGAATTTCGGCCTCATCAAATTTTAATGTGTGGCCGGATCTCGTCGAATGAGCCGCAACTTGAGAGCTAGTGTCATTTCTCCGCACCGCTGCAGCGTGTTCGGCCATTCGCGTTCGGAGGTGTCTTCCGGTTTCTCCAACCTAGTTGCTTTGTCCGCAACTGCAACTTCGTTTATCTAAGAGGCACAATAACGCAGCGCAAAAATTGACGAATAGATTGCCCATCGTCCATATAAAGTCAGCCAGGCATTCATCCGGCCACAACCCTCCGTGCGAGCTTGCCATGACCTTCAACTGAACAACAAACTGAAAATAATCAAGACCGTCATCCTGGTATCTACGTAGCAGGGACATGGACCACCTTCTCCAACCATGTTAGGAAGCTCAATCACTTCCATCTCAGCCGCCTCTGTTGAACACTGAAGTTGGGATGGCAGGACAGGATTCAGAATGCGGAACTCCTCGAACGGACTCGAATCTTCAGTGTCCACGCCATGCTAAGGGAACTGCAACGGCGATGGAGAGGCCACCTAGTGAGCATGGACGATTACCCAAACGACTCTTTATTAGAGATGTCGCTACGGGCGTTTGCCGTATACGTGTGCGTGTTATCCGGCCTTTCTTGTCTTGGGTCGCACGTTGGAGGATGTTGCAGTTATTGTCCAGTTATGCAAACCATCCTTTCACTAAAGTCCTCAATCTGATGACGGACAGATCTTTTCCGACGCTGGTCAACTTCAAAAGCATGAAACCGAAGGTGCTTTACAGCTGGAGTAGTAGAGAACATGAGCCTTGGAGGGGCATTCGTGAGACCAACAGTATCGTTTTATCCCCTCCACCTTCTAAGTCAGACCGATTACGGATTATATTCGAAGCAGTGGCCGGGACGGCGAAGCCTGTCTTCATCAGGCTTACAGTACAGATTTCCAGCTGTGTTTAGGTTTATCACGTAGGGGCAGCCGATTTAACAATCGAGCAATGCTGCACGTCTTGACTCACCCGCCAACGTCATATCGGACATCCTTACGTCGATCTTCTAATGGGAAGACAGGGCAAACCTATCGTGTGCTTTGGGTCTTTAGGTGTTCGTTAGCCTCTACGCTTGCAGTAGCATGTCTCTCTCTCTATATAGGATTCAAAACCACGCGCAAGTCCCCTCTTTTTCCCAGTTGTGCGGTGGTAGTGTACACAGTTTGCGGGGAAGAATCTGATCAAAAGTGTTCGGGAACTTTGTGAACTCTTAAATATTGTATAATAATTCCCCATCAGGACCTTCTATTATGGAACCACAAGTTGAACCTTGTTCACCACGTTAGATACACCAGATTTTCAGGCTGGCTACCACGGGGACAAAAACGTTCCCCGTAAACACCACTATCTACGCCAACGCCAAATGGGCATTAATTTGGAGCATTTTCTCTATCCGTCAGGGGCGGTTGCTTAAAGAAGCAAATGCTTCCAAGTGAAGAGCCAGTCAGATGTCGTTATGTAGCCGCACCTGAGGTAAACAACCTTTATCCAAATCTAATACATGCGCCGGTGAACGCACAAGCGACGAGGTCAAAAGAAAAGCTATTGAGAATGCGTGGTTGTACTTTGATTGGTTGAGAAATAGTTGCCCTAACTCTAATCCTAATCTCTAACCATAAATCCTAATCCTAAATCCTAACCCTAATCCATAACTATAACCCCCAACCCCGTAACTCTGATGCTAGGCCCTATAACCCTAACCCTGAATCATCTTACGCGAAAGTTAGAGGGAAACGGCAGACCGTAAGTGAGGACGAACCCCCGACAACAAAGAAACAAGGTCGCCAATAGAACACACACAGCAACTCGCAGCAACACCATACCGACGTAGTCATACCAACTGAAGATAATTACGTAGGTCAACAGTATTGTGTCCATCAGGTGCGTCTACGTAACCACATACTACCAAAGAGTCAAATTGAACAATTTATACAAACAACTCAACAATACGAATTAATAAGTAATATGAACAACTTATACCAACTGGGTCGGATAACCAGTCCAAAATATGTTCCAAAAAATAGCAAAAACGAAGAAGGCAACCAGAATGGCCATGGAGATCCAGAAGACAATACGCTCCCAGGGCTTCTCGTGGAGGTTCCTTAATACGGGAATTCCAACCAGGAGGCCGGCTAGGAAGCCACCCAAGTGAGCCGAAATGCTGACAGATACGTCTGCCTGTAGGCCATAACGGCGGTAAAGGGCCAGACCAAAGTCAGTGCCCACGAAGATGAGAATGAGACAGAGGCGAAAGACGCCGGATGAGATGAAACCCAGAAAGCCGTACCGGCAGGTGGTAACGTCGTGCTGCAATTCCTCCCAGTTCATCACAATAAGCGCCAGATGGCTGCCGATGAGAGCATAGGCACCCCCACTGGATCCCGCCAGAATGGCAAATGGGTCTAGGACGGAGGAGATGAGGGAACCGGCCAACACACCGGTAAGGTAAACAGGAGCCACTCGCCAAAATTTGTGCACCCACTCGATCAGCAAACCAAAGATCAGGGTGGCGATGCAGTTGAAGAGTAGGTGCCAGATGCCCTTAAGATACAGAGAAAATAGACATTAGAAATTCCATCATTTGGCAGCATAGTCAAAATAGGTGTAGGTCATTTTATAATTTACCAAAGATAGTAATCTCGTGGAACAGTTGATAGTGAAGTCCCTAAACATGTATGCTGAATGGCTGTACATCGAGAGGTGATATAATAATCAAAGGGTAGGACCTTATTTCGTAGCCGCACCTGCAATACACAAGCCCCAGCCCAACTACTAACCCTAACCTCAGCGTCCAACCCTAACCCCGATCCCTAACCCAAACCCCCAACCCTAACCCATAATCCTAGCCCCCTCTAACCCCTAGCAAGTACGGCTACGAAATAAGATCTTGCCGGAAAAAGAGAATACTGCTCAGGAAATCGAATTATAATGATGGATTTTCGAGTTGTTAACACCAACCAGTCGTCAGACGAATTGAAAGGGGGAGAAAGTGACATCAGAAGATTTGAGCGGTTGTCGCTCGTGTTGGCGAATGCCCTTGACTGTGACCGCCGCTTCACTTGGGGCGATATTGAAGCGATCACAATGGCTAACAGCAGACAGGCGCGAGAACTCCTTGAAGTTTGACATTCTAACAGGATCAGCACCAAACGCCATGCCAGTCTAGAGACTCAGTGACTTGTGCACACACCCCGAACAAATGATGATCCACGTAAGTGTTTACTATCTCGATACCCCCTGCGTCCGACGTGGCGAACCACAACCGAAAGTCCTAACACCTCAGGTGCGGGCACCCCGACCGCCGACCTCATCCCGCATCAACGACCAGACAACCGCATTACCACTGATCCACCATTCCTCTCCATCCAGCGCAGGGAGCTGTAACAGTTCTCCCTCCCCCTCCCGCTCAAAAGTTACCGTAAATCAGCATCCGCCTCGCTCACTCAACAGCTGTCTATCCTGTAGGGCAAAGCGCCCTGGTTGGGAAGGTCGCTCACTAGAGCATCAACGCAGTCAGCCCAATTGTGTGTTTGTGTGGAATGGCGGACTTGTGGGCTGAGAGTCAGACGGTTCCTTCTTAACTTGACCCCTGGAACTCTCACGAATGTGAGATGTACGCCGCTCACCCCTGCTGCGTGGAACCTTGGTGCCCGTGTTCGGGAGGCCAGGTCGTGCATGTGGCGCGCGCAGACGATGCCACTAGATATGCCAGCCCCTATACATAGTGGCGGGAGCAGTTGCAGGCTCACACAGCGCACATTGGAATCCCTGCCACTCCCATTGTTCTTGTTGGTTAAAATCACGGTTAGGCATCGGTTGCCGACCAGGAGATGTTGTGGTACGCCCAGGTGCGGGTCCTATCGTGTCAGCCATATGCGTTCTCTCCCTCCTTCAGTTCTCTGGATCATGTCTTGGCACCGAACCCAGGTGGGGAAAAGGAGATAGTGTGGTAGATTTGTCGCAACTCCACTATCACTATAAAATAAATCACACGCAGGTCATCGTGCCTGCCCTCGCTTTGCTGTGGAACACGCGGTGGACATCGTCCGAGCACGACGATCGAACTGCCATCTCGTCGCACTAACCGATCTATTCTTTCGATCTCACTTTGGCTCCTGTCCATTTCATCTGACGACGGGTTGGTGTCATCAACTTGAAAATTTAGGAGTAGAACCCGGTTTTCCGAGTGGCCTTCTCTGTTTCAGTATTTATGTATATATGCAGTCGGTGAAGGATCGATAAAACTTTTAGCCGGAATTCTGGAATGCGTTTTTAATTGGGAAGGAGTGCTTAGGTGGGTTTCTAACGCTGTTCAAAATGCGACAAAATCCCATAATATTTCGGACTCGACAGCCTGTTGGCTATTGGATCAACCTATTTGTAACTTCGTGTGAAAACTCTACTCGGTGAAAATGACTGTTTGAGTAGCAATTGTTTTTCGCACTGATATTCGATGCGCTTATAAGTTCAAATATTTTTTTTAGAAAACACGCATAAAAGTATGTTTTCCCCTGTCATTTGATAGGAGAACACATCTCCTTCGCAACTGTTACTTAAAGAAAAGATAGGTTTAGGTCTTGAAAAGTTTTCAATTTCCCAAATAATTTTCGGCCAGCTTGGTCGTAGCATTAGAGTTTTGCGATTTCAGTTTAAAAGATGTATACTTTCCGCCTAAGAAAAATGATATATTCTTTGATGCCTTTGAAGGGTAACCATGTGGAATTCACATAACTTTACAATGGACAATATTGCGTACTTTCATAGGAGCATTAACAAACGGACAAGTCCAATGCTGTATTAAAGGACATTGCCTGGTCTATATAACTGGGAACTTTTATAAAAAACAAAAGGTTATCTTCTTTTGACTATAATATACGAAGGGCACGCGATTTTCCATAAAATTATCAAAAGAAATCGTATTTGTAGGTGTTTTCCATAAAACATGTTCGAATTTATAAGGCCGTCGAAAATCAGTGTGAAAATAAAAACTAATTCAGCATTCATTTTTACCAAGTGCAGTTTTTATTTGAGGTCGAAAATAAGTGCATGCAAAATCCGACAACCTAGAGAGTCCGGAAAACCAGACGACTGTGCGCATGATAAGCAGTACTTCAAGCCCTACTATGTAAGTATTCCTAGTCGCAAACATATTTTCTGAGGTCGATCACTCAGTGTCTGCAGTATGTGAAGTAATTCACGAACTGTGATGACTAAAACTGAGAGGATCACTTGTAGGCAGCTAAAATGCTGCACACTTTAATAATTGGCCTATTCGGGAAAGTGTTATGCTGCATATACAATACGTTCAGAAATACGTTTACCTAGGCAGAATGGTATTACCGACAAAGAAAAGGGAGATTGGAATGGGCATTTCTGGCTTATTAGACGTCTGCAATGCTATTCTGCCTATATTACACATCGCTGTGCGGCTGTTGGTTGGACTCGAGAGTCAGTTCCGTAGAAGCGGTCGGTGAGCGTCCTCTACTATTAAGTTAATCTGTTAAAATGTTAACAAATTTTAGTAAGAATTTACATTGCCTTGTATTACGAAAACGTCTTATGTTATAGCTATGTTAGGCTAAGTTTTCGCATTCGCCTACGTTTCTCTATGAGAGGACAGTTGTTTAAAAGTAAGAGTTTTGCCAAACGGAACTCGCCGGAATGGAAAATTGGTTTTTTTTCTCCACGTAAGCCAGATGGTGTAGGATGTAAGGAAGGTTATTTTTAAAAAACCAAACATTTAACGGTTCAAATTTACATATCTGTATGGAAGCATGCTCTAAAACCCATCCATGACGCCTACAGATACTCCCTTGTTTAAATGTTTTCACACTTTCCTGTCCCTTACGAATACGAACGTACCTCGAACAGGGCTCCCACCAAGGGGCTTTGTTAACTTTTGTGTTAACTTTTGTGTATTGTACTTCCCGGTAATGCGTAGTTTAGAAACGAAGAGAACAGGCTGACAAGCAGTTTTCTCATAGTCCTAGTATTAATAGAGTCAATGCCGTCGACATCCACAATCTCAGACAGGACTTAGAGTAGACATAAATCGAAGATGACTATTATCTAAAAAGAAAATCGAGTGTTTTCATCTGCAACGGGAAGACTATCGCTATTTTTTTAATAAACGAAAGAGCTGATTGAGCGTTCTAATTTTTATTTTAACTTGACCTTGGAAAAAGGCCAAGCACGCAGACGTCCGTCAGTCAAATACCAAATCAGAGAGCTTTTTTGAATAACCAACTAATTGAAAATACATTTTAATCGATCTGAAATATGTTGTTGCGACTATCTCTTTGAGCGTTCGTTTGCTATGTTTAGCCTACAACTATGGCCCTAGCGACCATCTGCATTGAAAAGAAAGTCAAAGAAGTCACTGTTTCAATAAATGTTTTTGAGAAGTCCCCTATTTTGTAGCTTTCAGTAAAGATTTAGGCCAGAATCTATGCACAGCTATGGGCATTCGATTGAAAGCACTGAACATTTTGAAGTACTAACCGCTATTTCAAAAAAGATCCGGAACTTATCTGGTTCCAGCACCAGAAATAGCTGTAAAGAACTTGATGTCCAGCTAATCAAGAAGTGATCATATAAAAATTTGATTTCTATGACATCCCCCTCAGAACAGTCAAGCAAAAACCCGTTTTTACTAGTCAGCTGCATTTTAAAAAATGTGGAAACGGAAAAAAGTAGCCTTTTCTCCTGAAGGCGTTTCTGAAATGCATACTCAGCTGTAGACTACTGGTTTACTTCCATACCTAACATTACACTCCTTCCTGAGGGATATTTAAATGCAAAGTTTAAACGTCAGTCCGCCTCTGCCTTTTATTTGGCTTATTCTTTGGAGTCGGTTTGCAATTGGTTAGCGGTCTTTTATAAGTTTTAGCACCTTTAGTGAGATATGTATGATACTATATGTGCGCAGTGGGATATTGCCAATGAAGACAAGGAAAATTGGGATGACTTTTTCTAACTTACTAGCCGTAGTCAGCAGACCTTGACCAAACCGAGTTTTACTGAATTTGAACCTCTAGTTGGCTCTATTTAATCATTGGTCCAACACTACCCGCTGAGCAACGGCATCATTGGCCTGTCGGCTTTGATCGGGAATGTTAAAAATTACAGACGTGTTTTTATCGCCAAGACTATGAAATATCGCAAATATCGCTCATTTGCACCTTGGGGAAGACAATTGCATAGCGCCTAGGTGACGAGGACCAGTAATACATCCAAGTTTCTTCGTCTTAAACGGTACTGCCAACTCCGCAAATGCGACCACTACCCGGCTGCGCGTGAATTTGAAAATAAATCGCCCATCACCCAGACTGGATAGGAATGTTAGTTAGCTAGTGAAGCAGAGGAGAGTCTTTTTATTAAAAGGGACGTCAGGCGTCTGAAATATTATCCTGGGGATCTGAAAAATTGTTCCAACGTTTGATCTTGTTTATAAGGACAACCAATCGTATAATAGACCGCCACTTTGACTTGCCCCGGACCTACGCTGCCTTGCGTCCTGCCTGCGAAGAAACTGAGACTATAAGTTTGAAAGACAGAGTAGATGAACTTTGGAGTAATGACGACCTCGGTCAGTTATTAGCGAGTGACCAATCCCCCGGGCGTCATTTTCAGTCCTTGCCAGATATCTAGCAAGGCAGTCCGAAAAATAACCTTTTCGTAGGAGATACCCGGATAGTTGAAATGGATTCGTACAGGAAAGAACAAGGACAAATCGCATCCTTATTTGTAGTCGTTTACTTCAACGACAGATGAGGAAGTTATTTTAACCGCTAACTTCAGAGTCCAACCATGTACGATTTTAAACTTCGATAATGAGAGGGTGAATGGCAGTCAATTGTCTGCTTTTCTTCAACAAGAAGCCCCGGGTGTATGAAGGGAGAGTAAATGAAGGCTATCCCCATATTATGTCACAAAAGAAAACACATATTTGCAATTTAACATAATATCATTTTCGAAAAAAGTCTCATGTGCGCTCTCTCCTCTCCATCCCAATTACGGTATGAAGATATGGAAATCAGAAAAAAATTAACGAAGCCCATGACAGAGTAAAGGCCTGGGCAAGGAGAGGATCATATCCCAGTTTACGAGATTAACTTTATCATTGAAACATGACAATATTAATCCTGCTGTTAAAAAGTTGTTGCTACCTCGACTTTCCCGCACAGTCAACGAGAGAGTTCACTAAAAGGGCTCGAGTTGAATCAATGATATGCATATCTACGACATGTCGACGAATAATAGGAAGATTTCCTTCATAAGATAGTGATAAAGACTTGGGTGCAGAATTTATCAAGCCATGCTTAATCCGACTCAACGGCTAAGCCCTCATTTTCAGTCCCGTAAATGTACACACAAGCACAGTACTACTTAAATTGAATCAATTCCAAATTTAGGCTAAATCTCTCCACGTCCCATATGAAGGGGAGTATCACCTCTCAATTTCTCTCAAGGATTCGGAAGCTTAAAAGCGTGAGCTTTATCTGCAGTGGGCAGCTTCTCACTGTGACGCTGCAGGAATAACCGGCACACAATAGATTTACTAAATCGTCAGCCATGCCATCTGTCCAGGAAGGATCATTCAAAGATTAAAATCCTGCGAGAAGTATGAAGCACTTGGATTTATTTCAGTACTGGTAGAGGGAAAACGTCACCCTGCAACGAGAAGCCTATGGTAATTTGGTTTAGCAAACCGTCCGAAGTGAACGAATTGAAATGAAGCTGCCCGGCGCACAGTTCAAAAACAGTAACAGTCACCCTGTGTTTCAGAGCAGACCAGTTGGTGCGAAAGACTTACAGCAAAATGTGCAGAAGCTAACCTGATGAACAAGAAAGTAGGAGAGGAAACGCCAGACCTCTCGTCGTCTACGGGGATCAAAGTAGAGGGGACTAAAGTAGGGGAAACCGGAGATCATTGTCAGTTGGTTAAGCGGCTCCGATACGGCGCGCTTATTCAGCTCGACTGCGTAGTAGATGAAAACGCCAATCTGTAAGCAGCCAAAAAGAACACGTTTACCTTCTGAGCGTTAAATGCAACTGTTATTTACTTATCTGCCCTGAATGAATGGGTTTACAGGTGAAGTCCAGGATTTCATCTTTGAGAACTTTCTCCACAAATAAAGGAACAACTGCGAGATTGACTATGCAAGGTTTCCGTCAGTGGTTGGAAAGCATAAAGGTCATCCGTGCAAGACCTCGGTAATGGGGTGAATTTGAACGACAGAAACGTGGACTACCGATCGCATACCAAACCCAGAATTAATAAGACCGTATATTTTGCTCAACACCCGGGTTTTCAGTGGGTTGCATGTCCTGCAGTCGACATATACTCCGGATTCGGTCTCTGTCACCAGGGAAATTGAAATTCATATTGAAATACTATTCACGACGTATCTCGAGTGATTTTTAATGTGGGACTTTGCCAGCTCATCTGCCGTCATCAGACAAAACAACCCCAACTCCTAGCTTCTAGTTCTGTTTTAACAAACTCGGATATGCTTAAATATAACTATCTTCCTGGAGACAGACCTAATACCGCGAATTACCCCCTAAACATTATAATCACGAATTGTTAAAAGCTATTTAGAATACTTTGGAGAACGTACCAGCAAGACCAACTCCCGCAGTGTTACTCCACACAATGCGTACTTTTCTAAATGTATATTTGCCACTAAGTACTGCGTCTTTTAAGCATCAAGCCGTGTCCGTACGCCTTGAAAGCCGTCAGTATGGTTAAACACTGAGCTATATTAATAAAAGTAAATATGGCCTTATGATAAACACTACCAAAATGTCAACAGGTGAGGAGAGCATACTCTCGACTGTATCATTTTCTGTGCAAATAGTCAATCGTCGCGTAGACCACTGTGGTTCAGGCAAATGAATTCGACAAAGCACTGTCCAAAGTGTCCTTTCTGAGGCCGATATACGAGCGCAGATTTCCTATCCGGACCATGCAGACCCCGGATCAGGGCAGGATATTATATTTTAGGTCTGTTATTTCCCTTATATGTTAAATTATTTTGTTTGTATTCTGACCGGATAATTGCCATATTTGGCAGTGTCGTTCAGCAATTACCAGGCAAACAAGTTTCAGATTCTCGTAAAACATCGGAGTTAGTCAGATAGAAAAAAACCACCTTCTTTTAACGCCTGTCAAGCGTGAACAGTGATGGCGGCATAATCCACCATGAACTAAAGGATCTCAGTTCTCAGTTGCTCTGGACAGGGCTGGATATAAAATAAAAGTCATGACGCCTTACGGATAACACAACTCCTTTAACTCCTGTGACATCGCCCCTTAAAAAATCTGCGCATAAAGATCAAAGACCCCTGCTGACACGTAGAGCCGAGGGAAAATCTTCATAAAGTACACCTGTACCCCACACGGGCATATATGATAGAGGTTTAGGGCATGTCAAAGCATCATAAGACGCGCGACAGTCTCCAGAAAATCGTCTCTCATCAAAACCCAGTTGCCTCAGAGAGCCGACCTGTTGATTTTGGGATAGGCCAAAACGGTCTTAGACCAGCACAAGTCCCTATAATGAGATGAGGTCATTTGGCATAATTTGCTTCTTTTTACCCATGCCCCGTAAACTTATGCCTGGAATAAAGATGATCACTCACTCAACCGCATTGATGTCAGTATCAGTTAATTCGCAGTTAGGGAAGATATACGTACATCTACATGTATAAAAGATTGCAAAGTAGCCCTCATCGATCGCGTTACGGAGCTCACTTGTACCCTTGTGCTTTAGGGTTCCCTTTTTAGCTCCACAATAAGCGGCACAGCGGCGCGTAAATTAGGCAGAATAGAATTACCGACAAATACAAGAGAAACTGCGAATCGTCTTTCCCGGCGGTATTAGTCGTTACTGGCCAGCCATGGCTAAGCAAAAAGCATAAAAGCCCCGAGGTCCGCACTCGCGATCTGCTAGTTAGAAGTCCAACGTCCTCACAAGTGAGCAATGGACTCAGTGTCCTGTCGGTTGCGATTAGGCATATCAAAAGTTGTGGAGGGGCGCGTACCAATAATGTTACGGAACACACTCCTTGCGTTTTGCCTTGGGGTTCTCCCTCTAGTGCCGCCAGGGACACAAATATATATATATATATATGCTGGAAAACGGGCATCCCAAGAAATTTAATTGAAAATAAGTAAGATTCTTTGGGAAGGGAATAAACTTTAATGAGTAAATTTTCGAGTCTGGTTCCCCAGCTCGTCGTCAGACTTTTGGGCAATGTACAAAAACAGTTAACTATTTAACCGTGTCAAACAAGTGATTCTATGGTTGGCCGAAGTCTGCGCCAATGCGCGTCAACGATTTCGTCATCCCTTCGGCATTGGCTGCGCTCGCTTCCATTTGTCCTTGAGAAATTTGTATGTGGCATCTAAATCGATATGCCGATTGATGCATGCCTCATCTGAGTGCATTGCTTCCAGGAATTCGCGGCCTTTCCTTATTGGGCAGGCGCCAACAATGCGGGTGTTCTCCCATGCAAATTTGTGTCCAGTGTCCAGTGTGTGCATAGCCACCTGGGATAAATGATATCGTCTCCTCACCGCTAACTGATGCTCATGTAAGCGGGTAGAGGCGGATTTCCCAGTTTGGCCACAATACACGGCATCACAACTGGAACATGGTATCTTGTAGACAACACCTTTCCTATCAAGATAGCCAACCCTGTCCTTAGGGTGTACAAGCTGTGTACGCAAGGTGGTTGTAGGTTGGTGTGCTACGTGTATCTGATGCTTTTTCAGTTGTCTTAAAACTGATGAAAACATTATCATTCTGCCCGCTGACAAAGGAGGCTCCACCACCATAATGAACAAGACGGATTACACAGAGAAGATGATGACACTATTAAAAGACGAATCCACCTACGAACCCCTAGATGCTGACCCCACAAAATCGCAGAATTCATGCATCGAGAAAACACTAAAGCGCCTTACAGGAAAGAAATTAATCTCAGGAGTTCTGGCTAAATCCTTAAAACAAGACGAACCCACAATTGCCAAAATATATGGACTTCCTAAAGTTCACAAAGTAGGTATTCCACTGCGACCGATAGTCTCCTTAATCGGTGCACCAAACTACAAGATTTCTAAGTGGTTATTTCACCATCTGCATCCACTTACAAAGGACTCTGAGAACTCCATTGAAGATTCGAATCAGTTCCTAGACAAATTAAAAGGAGTGACTGTTGCTGGCGACGAGATAATGGTTTCATTCGATGTAGTCTCCCTTTTCACCTCGATTCCATTAGATTTAGCGAGACACTGCACCGAAGAACTCCTTCAGACCTACACCACTGATGTGCCTGTCGACGCTCTACTCCAACTTCTTGATGTTTGTCCAGAAACCAACTTTTCTTTCGCCAAACAATGTTATCGGCAACTGAAAGGTGCTCCTATGGGTTCGCCTATATCTGGCTTTCTAGCAGAAGCCATATTGCAGAAACTGGAGTCTATAGCCCTTCCAAAAATTAATCCAAAACTATAGCTACGCTACGTTGATGACACATTTGTCATTGTCAAGAGAAACCAATTAGACCAACTTCACACAAATCTTAACTCCACATTTCCAGGAATTCAGTTCACATTTGAAACAGAGGTTGACGGACAGCTCCCATTTCTAGATGTCCTCGTATGCCGAAAAACTGATGGATCCCTTCAGACTTCAGTTTATCGCAAAGAAGCATACTCCGAGGTCATCCTACACTTTGAGAGTAACCACCCCATCACTCACAAGAGGAGTACTGTCTACAGCCTACTAAACCGAGCTAAAACACACTGCTCTGATGAAGAAAGTTATCAAGCAGAAGTGAAATACCTTTTCAAATTATTTTCCCACAACGGCTACCCGCGCCACTTTGTGCATCATTGCATGAAACATGAGTTTAAACAGAAAGGTATTTCGAAAACAGCGGAAACCCAAGCACCAAAAACTTTAACCTGGCGGACCCTCCCATACATCAAAAATGTATCTGAACTTGTCGAAAGACAACTGAAAAAGCATCAGATACACGTAGCACACCAACCTACAACCACCTTGCGTACACAGCTTGTACACCCTAAGGACAGGGTTGGCTATCTTGATAGGAAAGGTGTTGTCTACAAGATACCATGTTCCAGTTGTGATGCCGTGTATTGTGGCCAAACTGGGAAATCCGCCTCTACCCGCTTACATGAGCATCAGTTAGCGGTGAGGAGACGATATCATTTATCCCAGGTGGCTATGCACACACTGGACACTGGACACAAATTTGCATGGGAGAACACCCGCATTGTTGGCGCCTGCCCAATAAGGAAAGGCCGCGAATTCCTGGAAGCAATGCACTCAGATGAGGCATGCATCAATCGGCATATCGATTTAGATGCCACATACAAATTTCTCAAGGACAAATGGAAGCGAGCGCAGCCAATGCCGAAGGGATGACGAAATCGTTGACGCGCATTGGCGCAGACTTCGGCCAACCATAGAATCACTTGTTTGACACGGTTAAATAGTTAACTGTTTTTGTACATTGCCCAAAAGTCTGACGACGAGCTGGGGAACCAGACTCGAAAATTTACTCATTAAAGTTTATTCCCTTCCCAAAGAATCTTACTTATTTTCAATATATATATATATATATCAAGCGAATAGTTTCAGAAATTATTTAGTGCAGGACATGCCGTTAAGTCTCCGGGACATGACATATAGATATATGAGAAAATAAGGCGACCACAGGAACCATGATTTACTGATTTGACGTTTATATATATATATATGGTGGTAGTGGGCGCACAATGATATTTCTTACGGAACTCACTCGTTCCGTTGTGCATTACGGACACAACGGAGAAACCAACCAGCAGCCGCACAGCGGCGCATGATATAGGCAGTATGGTATTACCGACAAAGACAAGGGAGACGGTCTCTAGTCCCTGGCCTCCAGTCTCCCTTGTACTTGTCGGTAATACCATACTGAATAGATAATATATATATCAAAAACAAGATACTTCTTTCACCAAAATCCAGGCTAAATGTGTAAATTGCCCGAAATCCTGAAGATGCATGTGCTTTTAACCTGTGGTCAAATTCTGAGGAAACCACAAATCACTGCGACACTACGAGGACCAGCTGGGCTCCGTCATTCCACTTTACGTCTATTTTCTCAAATCTTCTCTTTAGCCGTCAGTCTGCCGACAGCTTATAACATTCTTAAACATAGTTCACCTTGGCAGCCCATATTTTCTACAAAACAAAATAATTTATCCACGTAGGTTGTCTGGCTTGGTAACGCCCATCGCGGCAGCCCGAAGAGAGGTTACTTGAACGATCTCGTGGCGACACTTAAAACGGACCTGTACATGTGGATATGAGTCAGAAAAAAAGTAAAACTCTACGGTATCCAAATTCGGTTGACCAGACCTCACCCTGGGGTAGACGTTCATCATTAGATAAACATATAAGGCGTCATCGGTGATCCCTAGGATTATTTGGTATTTCAATCGTCTCCACACCTGACTCGGCTCTTTACTACCGAGTGATACACAGGAAGGCGCGTCAGTTTGTGGAAGGGGTAATAGTCCACCGGGTACTAAATACATTACGGTTGCTTAGAATGCCAATACGTTAAAAACGCACAACCGCACCTGTTGTGAATAATGTCCCGACACAAATATCTGCGCCCTTGTCCGGTTGCGAGTTCGACCGGTCGATATGTGTTGAGAAAAGCAGCTCAGGAGACGTGATCTTCAACGTGTACACAATCCCCTGCACATAGAGGTTGCCAAACTGGACCGGCAGAAACCAGACGGAAAAATTCACCTGCGGTCGAGTGCGCTGTCCATCCCCTCCCCCCGGCGTGAAGCATCGGAAAAAAGAAGCCAAGCAAATCGCTTCTGGTTATGACATTCATCCACTGGCGTCTGTCCGTTCATGGCAAGGCGGCCTAGCGTGACGTCTATTTTGTCTTCTGTACCCAGACCTTTTCTGTCTCAAGGACGGACGGCTCCAAGTGGCCGTGAGTGAGATGCTCGACAGAACTAAATAATCTGTAGGCCAGAATTGAGCTCGGAATTGTCCACAACTGCACCCCTGAGCCAGTCTTAGAAGAGATAGGAGGACTGAGTTTCGCCATCAGCTGACAGCCATCAAGCCAGGCATTTGGGTGGTTTGTGATAAATCAGAATGCTCACTTGTCACGAGGAGTGCTTAGAGCCCTTATCACACACTTATTATTCTTCCATGCAATGGCGGTCTGCCTAAACCTGCGATCTGCTGGCGATGAGACTGAGCACAGTGAATGGCGTGGATTGAAACTCACGGCAACTCACTTCCACCCAAATGATGCATGCAATGTGACATTTAGACGCCCTTTTGGTACAAGTGCCACAGCGGCGATGTCCATTCAAGGCTTCAGGTATGGTTTTTAAAACGAACAGGCGGCTGCCCTAGCCGCAGTTAATGAATACCCCCCCACCCCTCAGAGACGACAATGCATGTCTGTACAGGCACAAGCTGAATATTTTAACAAGTCACGCCCTGTTTTATTCAGACTCTGCAGATGGATGACTGCATTTCTTGTCCGAAAATACGGACGCCTCTTTAGTTTCGACGCAATCTCTCGGTTGCTATCGCCAGGCAGTTGGGGGTCTTCTAAGATGAACGCCGACGCGCCTTTGGTCAAAATTTCGCTTGTGATGTGCAGGTCAACCTTTCCCAACCCATCTGTCCTTCGCAAGTTCGAGCCTCAGGTGTTCCACACTTCCGGGGTTGGGTATAGCTGGCTGACGACGACTAATAAGCCAGAAATGACCTTTCCAGTCTCCCTTGTCTTTGTCGGTAATGCCATTCGGCTTATATCGTGCGCCGCTGTGCGCCTGCTGGTTTGGCTCGAGAAAAAGCCCGTAAAGCACATCGGAACGAGTGGGTTCCGTAATAATGATCGGTGAGCGCCCCATACCATTCCATCTATCCTTATTAGTGCAACCCGTATTTAAGGATTTCCTTCATAATTTATGAAGCTAGTCTCCCACCGTAGTTCCTACTCGTCTGACCAACCCCGCTCTTGATATGTGACAGGGAGGAAAATGGTGAACAAGTGTTACAGTGTCCACGCAGCTAGTTTTATCCCCGGGAATGTAGTAGATGGGCTAACTCATAAAATATTAGCTGAAATTCTAAATGCGTTTCCAAATCTAAGATTATGAAAGTAAAGTTGAAATAGTAATCAACATGCAGCACAATCTCACGATAAATCACCAAATTCAGGATGCCGGCCATTAAATAAACCTTTTTCGACCGCCTGCAAAAAACCACACACTGCAAGAAACAACTTAGGTAGTTGCCTTTTTCTTACTGATTTTCGATGCTCTTATAAATTAAAATATGTTTCGCAAAAAACATAAACAGATATATTCATTTTTTACTAATATGATAGAATATTACGTCGTATTTAAATTTTGTGCTTAAAAGAAGGGTATACTTCGGTTTGAAAATTTTTCCGATTCCCAAATAATTTTGAAGTCAAACTACCGAACAACGGAAAAGCATAATTTCTATACCGTGCTAAAAGTAGAACATATGGCTTTTATAAAATGCGGCAGTAGATTTCGGTCACATTGTAAACTTAGCGAGCGAAATTAGTAAATGCGGAGATACGATGTTTTATGAAGGGGAATTTCAAAATTTTAAAAATCCCATGATTGAAAACTATTTTGAAACAGAGTTTTAGTTTTCCTTCAAGCATAAGATTAAAAGAAGACATAATTTTCTACCAAGTAATTGAAAATGTGAATATTTTTGGATGTATTTTGCTGCGAAATATATCTGAATTTCGAAGCGCATCGGAAGCAATGAGAAAAATGCCCACTAATTAAGCAGCCATTTTTGGCAGAGCGTTGTCTTTCCAGGCGGACGTAAAGAGGTTTCTTCAAAAGCCGGCATCCGTGAGTAACGGATTTATAATGGAATTATGCTGCACGCTGAGTTGAAAACGCACTTCATAATTTCGGCCAACATTGCATGAGTTAGCATGTCTACTGTAACCTCAGATCTTAATTTAGAAAATAAAAAGCACTGACTGTGCTCCTGCGTTTTACTACACAGTAGTTCTAATTGGTCGAAAGCGTTGGCTATAATATTTCTGCAGAATTAACCTTGGGTGAAAATGAACTCATGGTAAATTTGAAGGAAAGGACGTTAAAGGTTGTAGACGTCTGATTTCGCCTATCCATTTTCAAACCTGCACGGTAAAGGGAAGTGAGCCAAGGTTGTAACAGCCATTGATTAGCTGGTTGAGGACGTTAAGGGTTGTCGGGTCTTTCAGAGACCTGACGCGGAGGTGGCGGGGGAGGGGGAGAATTTGGCGGTGAAATATGCTCTAGTTTCGTCACTGTATTATGACGTGGGAGGATGTGAAGAGAACAGGCTAGATTAATCTTGTACCAAGGCAGTTTGAGAAATTTGTACGAAAGTCTTCTGCGAGTACATGGTTGAGTTGTCTGTGAAGACGACGGTGCTGGCAACATTGTCAGCAAACCCAATTTTGTGCCTCCAGGGGGAGGGGTTCATAAACGCCCTCAAACTACCCTGGTCTAAGATTAGTCTGGCATGTTCGTTGAAGTATCCAACCATGTCCTACTACAGTTGAGAAGCTTAAGTAGAATTCCTCGACACTCTCAACCCTTTACTATATAAAGACTGTTCATTGGCTATCTCCGCTTTTGCTACTTTAGCCTAACTTACGCTAATGAATAGGTTCGAAGATAAATAATCAAAAATGAACGTTCGTCCAACTTGGCTACTCAAATGTTTACATAAGCGCTATCGCAGAACATAAATACTTACCTGTGCCAACACAATCAGGGGAATGAAAATTGGTGGTGGTCGACAGTTGTAGGCTTCAAGATAACTCTGCGGTACGTAGACCTCATCCGTTATTGTTTTTCTTGAAGCAATTTGTTCGTTCCTAACGGTGGGCGGTCCCTTCTGCATGCTTGTTGGCCATACACCATCAGGCTCCAGGTAGAATCCACCAGCGGCTTTGGAGTTTGGAAAGCCACCTGATACTGGATCCGGTACCTCCTGAACGAACACGCCTGAACGACCCAGTGATTCGATGTTCCGCAAGTGGTCGGCAGCTTGGACCTTAGCAGCTGAAAGTCGCATGCCTGGATTTCCCGCTAGAACAGCTCTCAGTCCAAAACGCTTGACCGGTGGTAAGTCCTTGTAGCGAATTTTTACAAGCGTCGACCTAAACTCCTATGATTAAAGATGAGTAATTGGTAATATTTCGTGGCAAAACATCTAGCTTGAGAAAAAGTGTCATTTATTTTTTGTCATATGTTTTGTTGGGTCCTATTTTAGTCCGTACCACGTGACAGTCTGTTGAAAAACTTATATACGCATCATTCAACGGACAAGTATTTCACAAAATGTAGCCATATGTTTATGACCCCTAAGGTTTTAACTGAAACCAACTTCATTCGTTAGAAGATCAACATGCGTATGGCTGAATGGTTTCGGTAACATGGGAAGGAAGCGCGGATGGTACTGTTCCATGTGTCAGATCTAAAGAAAAAAAGGCAGTAGCGATAGAAGCGCACATGCGAGTTCCAGGAAGCAGTTAGAAAGAAGAAGATACAATCACTGGAACAAGAAATTTAGTCGCCTGATGTTTCGGATTCTCACTCAAACCCATCATCAGAGACGGTTGCAGATAAGGGTGGTGGAGGCAGCAAGAGTGCAGTATTTGTAGGACGTAGCTGCCATGGGGCCACATGCGTACTATAATTAACAGATCTCGCAATCACCGCCAGGGTCGTAATTGGTGCGACTTTGGCTTGTCAGTCCGCGCCTGAGTCTTTGCGCCTGCTTCTTGTACACTGTTCAGGTTTCCGCTCCATGCAGCAACGTCGGCAGGACGACTACCTTGTACATCTTCAGTTTGGTGCTGGGATGAAGACCGTGGCGATTCTAAATTGTGCTTTACAGACGATCGAAGGCTTGGCTGGCCTTGAAGATCTGGCGGGCTACTTCATCGTCGATCTCAGTGTGGAAAGAGAGTGTACTGCCCAGGTAGGTAAAACTGTACACCACTTGCAGTTGGGCGCCGTTTACGTTGATTTGAGGTTCGACTTTGGCAGCGTAGGGTGGCGGTTAATGCATAAGAACCGTCTTTACCGTGTTGATGACCAGACCGAAGTTGTCAGATGCGGCCGTGAAGAAACCCATGCTCTTTTGCATGTCCATTCCCGAGGTGACGTTCAGGACGCAGTCATCGGCGAAGAAAGGGTCGTGGACGATGGTTTTGGATACACGCGACTGGAAGCGCGCGCACAGCTGTTTGAGTAGGTGGTCGTCCGTCCTGTTGGCGATGCGGCTTCCAGAGCGTTCGTCACGGTAGGCGTCCAACAGCATGGCGGAGAATATGAGACTGAAATGGGTGTTTCACTCCGTTGTTCACTGAGAATGCCTCTGAGAAAGCTCCATTGTCTGTGACTCACGCCATCATCTCGTCTTGAAGCTGACACACCCCATGGGTGAATCGTTCAGGACAGCCGAATTTCTGCATTATTTTCCATGGTCCTTCACGATTCCCCGTGTTAAAGACTTTCGTCAGATGTACGAAGGTAGAGTACAGGTGAGTCCGTATCTCCTGACACTTCTCCTGCAGTTAGTGGGCCGCGCAGATCATGTCGGTGGTTCCACAATGACGATGGAAGGCACACTGGCTTTCCGGCTTTCTGGCTCTCGTGGTCACCGTTGGAGTCGAAATTGCGGCAAATAACGACTCGGACGCGAACAGACGAAACGTCATTGCCTTAACTTCGACCCCAGCCGTGATCACGAGAGCTGATAATCATAGTACGCATATGGCCCCGCCGCAGCTACGTGCTACAAATACTGCAGTTTTTGTGCCTTCACTACCTTTATCTGCAACTGTCTCTGATGATGTGTTCGAGCGAGAATTTGAAACGTCATGCTGATATAACTTTTTGTTCCACTGATCGAGTCCTCTTCTGTTTCTTCCAAAACTACAAGTTACTGACGCCAACATTAAATCGAAAAAGCCAAAAGAATGAAGATTTTCCAATGCCTACACATGCGTGATTCATAACGTAGCTACCAACATTCATTCGCCTTGATCGAAATTGGTATGTCAACCATAACCACAAGCCTGCGATTAGCAGAGAAGGGTGCAAAGTGTGTGCCTCAGAGCCTAACACCTGTCGGGTATATGCTTGCATGACCTTCGATGATAAAATGTGGGTTTCTTTTTGTAACATTACAAACGTAAACGTGTTTCCATGGCTATGGTAATAGTATAAAAACTCAATGAGATATATTAAATACAGCAGATGTGCTAACTCATGAAATGTCAACCAAAATTTCGAAATGCGTTTTCGTTTCGAAAAGATAAATTAAGTAGTGTTGTAAAAGTAATCATGATGCAGCATAAATCTATAATGATCCAAATGTCTTCGGGTGTCGGCTTTCAAACGAACTTATTTTCGGCTGCAGGCAATATCTATACTCTGCAAAAAATGACTACTTAGGTAGCATGCAATTTTCTCATTGATTTTCAATGCCCTTGAAAATTTAATTATATTTCATAGAAAACATGCATAAGAATATTCGTTCTTTCACTTATTCGGTAGAAAATCACATCTTCTGCCAAATTCATACTTAAAAGAAGAGTATAATTCGGTCTTAAAGACTTTTCTAATTCCCGAATAATTTTGAACCCGACCTACTCTTACACTTGCATTCAAGGTTTAAAAACTACAAGCTGTATATTTTTCGTGTACGGAAAACCAGGCATTTCTCTAGTTTTAAGAGGAGACTATATGAAGTTCATAAAATTAAGCATGGATTTGAGCAATATTGTTAACTTTACAAGCTACATTCGTAAATGCAGATACATGACGTTTCATGAACGGCCATTTAACGGTATTAAAAAAATCGCACAATTAGAAACTCTTTTAAAACCGAATTATACTCTTCTTTTGAGTATGATTTTGGCAGAAGATGTGATTTTCTACCGAATAAGTGAAAGAATGAATATTCTTATGCATGTTTTCTATGAAATATAATTAAATTTTCAAGGACATTGAAAATCAATGAGAAAATTGCATGCTACTTAAGTAGTCACTTTTTGCAGAGCCAAAAATAAGTTCTTTCGAAAGCCGACATCCTGAGGTAACTAAATAATTAAAGATTTATACTGCATTATGATTCGTTTTACAACACTACTTAATTTATTTTTTCGAAACCAGGACGCATTTCGAAATATTGGTTGACATTTCATGAGTTAGCACATCTACTGTACTTATTGTCACGTGCCTTTTTAGCTTGACTGTGAATGGTTTCCTCAACATTAGTCGATCCTTAACCAGCAGATGCCATGAAAGTTAACACGAATTGCTAAATATATAGGCCGTAACTGCGCAGTCCTTGATGGCAACCACGAAAAAGTGCTCTAGTTCTTCTTCTGTCGTGTCGCGTCAAGGTCTCCTTTCCCAAACTTGAGTTCACAGGTGACTTAAAAGCGGCACAGTCTAGAGTCAGTCGTTCACAGATAAAAAAGCGTTTAGTGACTCAGTGTGCAAAAAACGTTCATACATTTTTGGTGTCTTGCGCTTGAACAAATGTCCATCCTGAGCTTCTGCAAGATTTGCAAGCGCATAAGGAGGGCACACCAAGACTCGGTTATCTGCAGTGTCACAGGGGAATGCAAAGCAATCCCCCAATTCATGGACCCATATGGGTGAGTAGGGAGAGAGTTGCTCCACGTCTCAGGACTCACCCTACCGGTCTGGCGTCTGGAAAGGCGTGGGAAGGGGAAGCAGAGAGTGTGTTGTTTATGTTTTGCCTGTTTTGACAATGAGTTTTATGTCTGCGGCCACGGTCAGCCTGCAAAGAGTGTGGACCTAGGGTGCTGAAAGCGTAGTGGCAGTAGTCAGGCAGCTGGATCTCATCGACAGTACGGACACTCATTCTCAATCTCCGCGGATGTTGAGAGACGTAACTGTTTACCTATCACGAACGATGACGTCGACCATGTGTTCCACGGAGTGGGCGCGTGATGATGACATGGGCGTGAATTAGTTACAAATGGGGTAGGCTTGCGCCGCATCTACGCATTTTTTGACTTTAAGAAGGCCTTTGACAGTGTCCCACACAGGCTTCTTTTGCAAAAGATCTGGGATGTAGGGATTCAAGGGAGAATTTTTAAGTGGATCAGAAGTTTTCTGTCCTCCAGACTACAAAGAGTCGTCTTTAGTAATTCTACCTCGGAATGGGTAAAGGTGGAAAGTGGTGTCCCACAGGGTTCTGTCTTAGGCCCAGTACTCTTCCTGATTTATGTTAATGACTGCATCAGCGAAGTGAATTGTGAGGCTCTCATGTTCGCGGATGACATAAAAATATGGAGTGAAGTCAAGTGTGATGATGACGCAGAGAAGTTGCAGTCGAACAACAACAAACTGTGTGTTTGGTCGAACAGATGGCTTTTGAAGTTTAACGTGTCCAAATGCGTGGTTTTGCACCTAAACACCGGCCGCAATGCCTCTCCCAAACACCAGTACTATATTGACGGGACGAGGTTAGAAACTGTGGAAAGACACAGAGATCTGGGTGTATGGACGACCACAAATCTATCGCCACCAGAACACTGCAGAAAGATGGTCCAGAAGGCAACTAGTACTCTACACTGGATCACACGTGCATTTAAAATATTTCCTCCCGAACTTTTCGAAAGACTCTTTGGTGTCTTTGTAAGACCTCATCTAGAGTATGGAATGCCAGCAGCTTCACCATGGATGAGGAAGGATATCAACTTACTCGAACAGGTGCAACGCAGAGCGACAAAGATGGTCGACGGTCTAAAGCATTTATCTTATCAGGAGAGGCTAAATTTGCTTGGCCTATTCCCTCTCTCTTATAGACAAATAAACTGCAGTCTACTCTGGACGTTCCGGATTGTTCGCGACCAGGGTTGCTCATTAAGAGCAAAGGATTTCTTTGAGTTCGCCCGTGCAAACCAACCACGCGGCCATGCATTCAAAGTCGGGAATGAGCGCACACGTTTAGACCGACGAAAATTTTCATTCAGCCAGCGGTTTGTCAGGCCGTGGAACTCGCTTCCAAGCGAGATGGCGACGGCTGACACAGTTTGTGTGTTTAAAAGAAAACTTGCTCGTCTAGTTTTCGACAGAAATCGGCTTGTACAGCATGACTATGCACAGCCAGTTTTGTAAAATCTGTCATATACAATCTTCCGCACCAATTTACAGTGACCCCATGCACTACCTTATGATTACGATTGAACTGTGACCCAATCACATTTTAAATGCCTGCAAATGTATTTTATTTTTGAGTATGAATCTGCGAAAGCACTGTACATAAATAGGGTCATCAAGGGCTCTGCCTGTAACCCTTCAATGTACATATACAATATATACAATATACATATACACTCTCCTTCCCGACCTGCTTGGCTGGGGTAACGGAACCATATCGTGACGCCCGGAGGTGGAAGACTGATAAAACTAACCGTCTACGCATGTTTCGCACGAACCGGCCCCACAGCATACATCCGGTCTTCATAAGGACAACTGGGATTTTGCATGCAAAAGAGTGCCCGGAGGTAACGTTAGAAAGGGGCCTATGCACTCTGACTCACAGTTCTGGGAAGGATTAAGTCGACTCAACAGTTGACAATCCGCTGAGCCACGACCTTGAGTGGGTCGTAACACGTCGGATTTGTCATAACAGTTCGACCATCGTTGCCGAAGATGTCCCCAGCGTGCTCCACAGACAAATGAAACAGACACGATGGCATGAGCGTGATTTAGTTTATAGTGAACATAGACTTGCGATGCATCTGCCGCATTCTCTTCTACTCCCCCCTGCTGAGCCCGTTGTCAAGACAGAATCAAGAAAACCGGAGGTGGGGTAGGGCAGGCCGTAGTCGGCCCCGGGCGTGCCTTCATAACCGGTTCGGATCCCACGTTGTGGGACTGCGATAAAGGCCATATTGTGGAAGAGCCATTGCAGCCTGACTCTTAGACTACTAGTAGGCCGCTGCACACAAGCACACAACTTTGTGCCGTCCGCAAGGTCCAAGTTATCCCGTTACTTGAGGCAACCTACCAAGCAACGGCTTAAAGCGCATCAGATTGTTATGGTGAGGAAAGTGCGCTGAGTCGTCGACCTCACTCTCCCTTCCCATTCCTTAGCCACATCCACAGTTCAAGCCGGAGAATGGGCGCGGCGGCTTATATACAGTAGGTGGGCTAACTCATGAAATGCCAACCGAAATTTCGAAACGAGTTTTCGTTTACAAAAGATTGATTAAGTAGTGTTGTAAAACTATTTAGCCTGCAACATAATTCTATAATGATCCAGTTACCTCAGGATGCCGGCTTTCGAATGAATCTCCTTCCGGCTGCATGCAAATACCAAACTCCGTAAAAATGACTACTTAAATAGCAGGAATGTTTCTCATTGATTTTTGATGGTCTTAAATATTCAATTATATTTCATGGAGAACATGCATAAACACATTGATTATTTTGGTCATTCAGTAGAGAATTACGTATTCTTTTAATTTTATGCTCGAAGGAAGGGTGTAACTCGAGTTTCAAAAACTTTTCCAATTCCCGAATAATTTTGAACTGCCGTTACACTTGCATTCAAGTGTTTCCAAACTACAAGCCGTACACTTCCACCGTACGGAAATCCTTACATTTCTCCACGGTATTAAATGGAGGCTATACTGGGTTCATTAAATGTAGCAGTGGGTTTGAGCCATCTTGTTGGCTTTAAAAGTCATATTCGTAAATGCAGAACCATGGCGTTTTATGAACGGCCATTCCGGGGTATTAAAAAATCTCACAATTAAAACTTGTTGAAAACCGCATTATACCCTTTCTTCTAGTATAACATTGGACGAAGACGTAGACTGCAAACGAATCAGCAGAAGAATGAATATTTTTATGCATGTTTTCCATGAAATGTAATAAAATATTTGAGGGCATCAAAAGTCAATGAGAAAAATTCATGCTACCTAAGTAGTCATTTTCTACGGAGTGTAGTTTTGCATGCGGGCGGGAAGAAGTTCGTTTGAAAGCCGGCATGCTGAGGTAACTGAATTATTATATAACCATGCTGCATGATGATTAGTTTTACAAACCGTATTTCGGAATTTTGGTAGGCATTTCTTGAGTTAGCCCACGTAGTGTAGCTGTCGGGATGGTAGGGTTGACAAGACAGAGGTTCCCAAGTCAGAAGTCAGGCAGGACGGATTGGGTTAGACAACTTTTACTGCAGAAGAAGTCCGTACACAAAGACCCTGAAAGCCGTCGCCGATAGCGGTGTCTCCAGGCAAGTTCTGTCTGCTGGGCTGCCTAGACCCCCTAGCATGCATATGTCTTTCGCTCCACCTGTGTCCGTCAGCCAGTCAGAGGAAGGAACCGCACTAATTGGTCTCCAGAGGTTAGTGACAAACCTCGCACTTTCAGGCAGCGGATCGACAGGAAGTGCGAAGCGGACAGGTGGACAGCGAGACAGAAGCAGCGAAGAGTAAGGCGGAGCGGACTGCCACACATCCACTGACCCCGTCTGCGCGCTCCACATGCACCGGGGTTTCACACAAAAAGGCTTGGATAGCATGCATCTCACATTCGTGAGAGTACCAGAGGTCACTATAAGGAGAAGTTGTGACAGCCTGGATCCCAGTCCGCCACTCCATTTAAACCTATGTAATAGTACGCTGATATTTCGTGCAGATGGTTTTACCAGTGTCGGCTTTACTCTCTCTATCCCCACGCATTAGTCGACTCCTTCAGACAGTCAACCAGCTGGTGACAGGGATTGGGCGCATTGGTGGATGCTGAGTAAAGACCCTCCTCTAGGCGTGCTACCACATCACTATCTAGATGGTAATTTTGGCCTGAAGCGGACTTATCTACCTGGTTAACGCTGGCGTAAGTCTGTACGACCCAACTTTTGGACCAACGCTTCTACAGTGCGGCCAATCGGGTGATCAGAAATAATACGTATGCCGACTATAGCGCAGACCTTATCGTAGAAGACTGTTTCTGGTAATGAACTCTAGGCAATTAACAAAACTTTGTGAATAGTAGTTCTGCTTCGAAAAAAACCTTAAAGTAATAGTTGTTTTTATAATGGAAGACAAGATTTTATCTGCAGCAGCAAAGCCATGTATACTAAGCGGGCGTGAACAGGTCTGTGCGTACTATTCTGGAATTAAATATGGTAAAATAATTCAATATTTCAATGTTGTCCAAAGACCAAACCGATGTTATGGGAAGCAGGAGAATTTGTTCTGGAGAAGTTATTTCAGCAACTTCCAAAGTTACCGAGTGGGAAACACTCGTCCGCTGTGCTGATGGAATCACTCTAACACGAGGTAATATGCCACCTTCAAACAAACCATGCCCAGTCAGACTCCTGTTATTTTTGGCAAAACAGCTGAAATTGTTGTTCGATCTTCGCCCCGGACGATGTTCACCGCGTGCTCTCCAATAAGAATAATCAGGCACGATAACCTGCGTGTGATATAGTTTACTGTAAGGAAAGGCTTGTATAGCATCCACCGCATTCTCTCCTCCTCCATCTCGAGCCCCGTGTCAGGACGCAGGTAAAAATATCTGAGGCAGGAGAGGACGTAGGTGGCTGGCACAGCTGAACCCGAACCTAGGCATACCACCACATACCCTGCTCCACAATAAACACTTGACTGGCATTTTGACCAACAACATCAACAACAAAAGCAGAAAAGATGTGGATAACTAGGCAGCAATGCACACAATCTGTATACCCAGCGGAAATGCAATCGGGTCCACCAGCAGAGAACCGGGTACCGGAGAACTGCCAGCGCACACCAGGCTGCGAGTGCCATGGTTTGTTGATCCTGACAGAGCAGACACTCACATGTGACTTGCGACTTACAGTTCTCCAAGCAGTCAACCCACCAACAACGACAAGTTGGACTTGTTTTGGAACGACTCTACAATTTTTTTCGGCTTAACGTTGCCGATATGCTGGCAATAGCGCGGTCTATCTGAACAGCAAAGACAGGCAACGATGTGTCAACTAGGGGAGACCCTCAAATAGGGGGACAAGCAGAATGTATTGTGTCAGTCCTTAGGCAATTATCTGCAGTCTACACTGTAAGGCGTACGTCCAACATACACACAGTAGTCCGGCCCCCAAAAATCGTAGCAAAGTGAAGTCCGAATTTTCGTTTTCACGAAAATGTGTCTCCATGACATGGTCTGCTGGTTCTTTTCATGCGGCGTATTTCATAACCCAACCATCATTACCAACAAAGGATTGAAAAACGCTCAGAACTGTCTTTTTCCTCGGCCCTATTACTATGCTGTTGGAACACGGTTTCTAGCACGCCGACGCCTGCTGAATGCATCGACTTCTTGGGTCGTCATTGAAATACTAGGATTATTTTCCATCTGAGTTGTTTAGTGATGTCGCCGGACAATTGTACGTGCGTTAATTACGTTAGACGTGTACTCGATTCCGGTAATTACTAATCAGTCTAGGCGAAGTTATCGCCCCGTCTCACTGAAAGTCCGCTTTTTATGGAGGTCTCTTCTGCATTTGGACTGAAAACTTACAGTTCGTTTGATCCGCTGAGAGCGCATAATATTTTATGCTGCAAATGACGGTTATCTCTTTTTAAAGTATAGCTGTCCCTTTACTCGCGTTACATGTTGGTTATCTGTGTCATCAAGTTGATTGAAGATGCCAAAGATCACTTCAAATCTAGTTACCTTGTAAGTTAGCTGATTAAATCAGTATACAAAAGGCAACCAATGCAGATTTGCATTTTCTCTTGGTATTGCGTTGTGAACCAATTAAATTTCGCAAGCCAATAACCAATAGCATTGGACTTAATCTTTGTACGCCTCTCAAGCCATCCTCGAAAGGCGAAGCACTGCACTGGCGTCTCAAAGACGACCGAAATCCCTATAAGACCGAACGCACTATGCAGCTTGGGAAGTCCTTGCAGTCGCGTTCATTCATAATCGTCGAAGGTGTTAAGATAGATCTCAAATGAACTCGTGTGGAACATCAGATATTCGGACTGTCTACGGCAGAAACACCGAGATCGACATTTGCAGGGATATCACTACTAAGCTAGTTTTTATATCTATGATATTTTAACCATTCTAAAAGTAAATTTAATACGAACTGTTCAGGTTATTTGAATGTATTTGCTGTGATACATAACCCGAATCTTTGCAATAGACATTGTAAAAATGGACTTTACTCTACACTTTATCAAATGAACACACAATAAATTTAAACGATAAAAGTAGCCCGCATGGTTAGGTTTTACGCCAAACCTATGCTATTGTGTGATGTCTTTTATGACAGCGTTACACGGCGGCGTCTATTAATCCTATTTTACTCAGGAATCAAATGATATAAAGAGCCCCTTTAAATTCAGTGATGCGAAGTGAAATCACAATAAAGACCTACTACACCCTGGGAGACCTCCTAGACTTGTCATTCCCATTTTGTTGAATGATAGTCCGTGCAAGTATTTTCTTCTAAACGTTAGAAAACCGAGGCCACGTTTTCTGCAGGAAAGCTCGCTCATAATATCCACTCACATCACTGTTTAGTCACGACGTACGATTGAACGACCCCTTCGGTGTTCATAGGAAATAAGAGGTAAGACATTTTAAAACTGAGGAGGACAACAAACAGATGCATCCAAATGCACTCAGGATATTTAACAGTACATCGATAGTTTGGAAAAAGTATAAACGATCATCACTTAGCTTCTACGATCAGCAACGAACAAACATTCGTATTCTTCACCCTGTCTACACACTTAGCTGGGTTGCCTAATTACCTTCCACATATGGTTGCGCACCGGACGAAGGAAAAGTCAAATACTGAAAAATGGTAAAATTCCTTTAACGACATCCAAAAATTTGAATGCGTCGATCTCACAGTTTCTCAATAGCTTTCTATCCTCATCTACAATCACAGTGTATCATTTGGACACAAAACATTTCTGAATACTACTGCTTACTCGTTATTGTAGTGGAGAACAATAAAGTCGCTCAACAGTTCTATGCTAGGACACGCACCTCAAAGGTGATTCGACCGTCTCTATTCTTGTCCATCTTCAACACTAGCTCGATCCGCCGTTCTCTGGGCAGTCCTTGATCTTCATACTGGAAGTGGGTCAGTAACTGACGACAGGGTACACCTCCCTGGCCCTCGTAGGGCTCAAACAGGGGTCGAAAGGTGCGATCCAACCACTCACGATACTCCTCTTCGGTCATATCCTCGGTATGACAGCCGTCCCAGGCGCCTTCTGCGGGAGGATACAGACCGAAACCCCCGAAGTCCTCCACTGGTCGCACCATTCGTTTTCGCGCAAGCGGAGGATTTGCCGGAACAGGCATGCTCTCCATGGCGTGCCCTGTTTCTATGGAACAAAGGAGTCGACCAGGAGAAGAAAAGTCACATGTGAAAGAAAAAAGAACCATAAAAATATGTTGTGTTAGAGGCAAACAGCAACTAACGTCGTAACGGTCAGAGAAAAGAATCGCCCTGAAGAGCTCTCCTGAGGTCTATTTTGTTTTCGTGTACTTCTTCTCACCCCCAAACGGGGCCGCAATTAGGCTGCCGTTACTAAAATCCTTTTTAAATATATATACCGTTTTGACAGAGAAAATGACGCGTCAAGTAGTTAAAAAGAACTCTCCCAAAGTTCACTGACTGTGTCGGTGTTAAAACTAGCTTGCTGTTGGGTATCATCGAAGTCTGCTGATTGCTGCATGAGATTGCTTTACCAGGCAGAGGCAAAATCTGAAACACTTTAGTTATGCGAAGATGTTATGAAAGGAGGAATAACAGTACACATTTGCAACAATTAGAAATAGAAGCATGGCGGGCGGAGGTTTTGGGTACATATAAGCTACTTCTATATGTCGTTTGTAGAGCAATCTCAGAAAGAGGCCATATGTCCCTCGTACCGAAGTTCATCCATGTTTTTAATCTCAGCTGGTGGTGTTGGGAATACGATTAATTGAACAAAGAGCGAATAACCCCGAAACAGTTCTGTATCAACGCACTCGCATTTTCTGTCGTCTTCTTCCTCGACTATCCTAAATTAGTCAAATTCGGCCTGGTAATCGGTTGCTACCTGTTCGGAGCTCGTTTGCTTTAGTAAACTAACGAATCGGTGGGCGCTTATTCAGGACTAAACGGACAGATATATTTCACTGGGTTATTTTTAGGATATAAATATCCTTTTTTAAACATCCATTTTACATTCGTTACGGAAACGTGGGAAACACTAGGAAAAGTGCCTAAACAAGGACTTACGCGCTTCTGTCCAATAAACTGCCAATTAACGAAGACGAAGGTTACTTCCCATCAGCCATAAATTGACTTATTTTGCTGGCGGTTTATGGGTTGTACTCGAAATGTCAAATTGATAAACGAATTAGCTAGTAAGGCGAATAAAATATACGGACGCTCTTAAGTTCCCAGGTTGGTGGAAGCAATTCGAGTCCATATTTAAACATTTAACCAATTCATATAAAGTTTAGAAATTCATTTAAAGCAGAAGTTTTGCAAACAACTTGACGCCTTTATTCTCTTTGCAGTTCATATTCATCACACCACGATCGGGGCACGAAGTCTTGCGTAAGTGACTTGATGAGACATACGAAGAGATTGCGCGTCTACTAAAGACCGGGTACATCTTGAGGCTGTTCGAAGTCCGCTTGAAATCGTGCTTCATCTTTGTTAGAAAACCTATGAGCAGATTGACGGGGTTCCAATGAGCTCCGAGTCACCGATTTAACGGCGGATGTGGTCCTATAGGAGCCAGTTAAAGATTGTATTCATCCAAAATGAGGGGCGGAATGTTCGGCGCAGTTAAATCGACGGAAAGCGCGTGGCCGACAAGAAAAACATGCTGCAAAATTTCCGTCATCTTCTCAGCGCAACCTGCTTTGACATAGACTTCATGAGAGAAGAAGTAGAAGAGGAGCAGGAGTTGACTTTTTTGACGTGCTCGGCGAAATTGGGAAGACAGTTTGAAGGTAGGCGAAAAACCACTCAGTTTCTCAGTTTTCGAAACAACTTCTCGATGGCTCAAAAACGCAGCTGTGTGAGAACACTCCTCAAACGGAGCCAGGTGCGTTACAGCACTCCAGAGAATGGATACGTGGGACACGATATCCCGGTAACCCGTCTATGCGGAATTAATATCTAAAAGCCTTTATAAACAGAAGGTTACAACTTCACCTCCATCAGGAATGCCACCGAGAATATGGTATGCTCCGCTGTACATTAGGTACACTTAGAAACGACCGAGCCCATTTCTACAAAACTAGATCGGAATTACAGACCAGCCCGAAGTCGGCATGCGCAGATGAATTAGGAAAATGGCGGATTGATTAAATCTCATTGGGAAGTCCGCAGTTAACATACCCTCTAAAGTACCTAAACTGTGCCGAAACGGGAGTGACTGAGTGCATGCTCGCATGGCGCATACAGGGGGTGGAAAATCATCGTAAGTGGCTGCTCGCAACTTCTAAAAGGGTCCGGTATCAACTTTGAAACCGCTGAGACAATTACCCACAGCGGAATCAAGACAAGTCTTGAGATATTTTGGCAGATTTTGAATAATTCATATTAAGCCAACTGTGACAAACTCAGCGCCTCGGTTAGATTCGAACCCACGCAGTAAGGGGGAGGCTTTAGTACAGCCAACGCTCTAACCACTTGAGCTACGAACCCCGCCAGTTGACACGAGTTTAATCCTATTTGGGTCCAGTTACCCGCCCAACCTACTGCAACGTCTGGAATCCACAAATCTGATGCAGTAAGTCGACTGCCAAGCAGTATTTCCTAAGTAATTCACCTAGAATCCACCAGATGATTTCCATTAATTCATTTTGACCTATTTGTGAAAAACTCGGCGGCACGATGGGACTTGTGGCTCAGGTGGTTTGAGCGTTAGCTGTACTGAAACCTTCCTCTTACTGCGTTGCTTCGAATCCCACCGAGGCGCCGAGTTTTTCACAATTCGGTCGATATGAACAAGTCTAGCGGTGATTGAAACCTGGGCCCCGAAAGCGAAGTCAGTCCATCCATGTGCCGTCGTGACTCCAGCATTTAGTGCGCCGCGCAGTCACCTCCAGATATGCGTCACTAGCTGCTGATTGGTCACACATTTCCATGACTGTCATTTATTCTGATGATGCTGTCATCTGTGAGGAGGCACCTCCGGAAGAGCCCAAAGGATCAGAAAAATAAAGAAAATGTTTCGGTACTTGACCAGTTTTCTTCCCCCTCTGCCTAATGCATTCATAAAATTTGTATTTCAATACTCATAATCTAAATCGTTAGGCCGACATAAGGTGTCATATGCTAGATTAACCGTAACCCGAAAACGTAGGCCTAAAGGCATAACCTTAGGCCTAACGTCTGAAACCCTTAACCGGTACCCTAATCCTAACCTCGAACGTACAATGGAAGCCAAATGGGTCAGATGTGATTATGGAACCCCATAAAATAGCTCCAGTAAACAAACCCCTCAGCCACCGGTAATACGGGGTCTGGCTACCAACTGCGATCTAGCCAAAAAGTCTGCTAAAAATTGAGGCGTAAAACCTAGCTTCCCACATGTACAACGTATATAAATTACAAGAGTGTGACCTACTTTGCGCAGCTGTCTACATTTAATGCATAACTACTCACAAATTAAGTAGCATCTTTTACAACGTCTAATATGAAAGACGGGTAGAAATTCCCTCCGATAAACCCAAACGGGCCGCTAGTATTTGAAGTAGCTGGTATTCGTGTGCAACGCCAATTTGTGAACGAAGCTCGCCAAATTAATCGTCTCCACCTGAACGCGCTCTTCTGGATTTTAGTCAACATTAGTGAACTTTGGGACGTATTGAAATTCAAGCCAGACCGCTTCAACCAGAGCTGGCTTGGACTACGTGTGAGAAGTGCGATCGATCGTTTTTATACATGTGTTCTTGATGGGACGTCGTCTGCACGACAAATTGGCCGATCTCGCAGTCGATGCGCTAGCATTTTACCACATGACACTACGTTCCTAGTTTGAGCTTCAAGCTTAATATATGCATGTCCGGTTGGTTGAACTTGAGGCATTGTGCACATTTTGCCGTCGTGTGTGCATGAGTGTGCTAAAATAAGCACGGCGAGGCTCATACGGACAAACCAGGGAGTTGCGTGTTGTCGAGGGTGACAGTCACGATTATCGTCACGGAAGGACTGCACAAGGTGTCGTCTTGGAAAGGAAAAAAAGCAATTAACCCCTGTGTGCACGATACATCTTGCGCAATAATCTAACACGCTTCAACGCTCATAGGGTTTAATGATCGGATAAGGAGTTCAAAAAGGCAACCCGAATGAAGGAATGTTTGTCAGTTACAGCTACCAACCACGTCGCAGGCACTGCACTTTGCTGCTCAATCGATATTGAAAGAACGATCACCGCGACTCACACTACTGAACGTAAAATTCCGATTGGACAAAAACAACTGCAGTAGGAAATTCAGCAGAAAAAGTACAACTTTCGGTGAATGATAGCAACGTTTCCGATATATAGTACGTTGGAGAGCAAATGAGGTAAATGCAGTTTCTAAAATCAGATATGAATGTTAATAAAACCTAGCACAATAGGTCTGTGTCACACTTTAAAGCTAGCTTGCCTGAGGTGGTTCTTTAACTAGCTGACGAAAAACGCAGTAATTGTGATAAAACACACTGAGCCGTGTTAAACATCCAGAACAACTGAAGTACGGAGTATTCTAGACGATCAATACCCACATTAGATCTGATTAACCACTCAGGGTTGACGTAAGCCGGCATAGACTTTTCGAGGCGCCAGATTCCACCGCAGTTCTGACGCGCACGTGACGCAAACACACACTCCAGATTCCGTAAGGCCACGTCGGCAAGCCAACGGCCTAGAAATGGAAGAATTGGAAGCCAGATTTTGAATGGTGGCTTCACACTTGCACAGAGTTAGATGGGACGTGGAACATATTCCATAAATACTGATGTGTGGAGAAGGAGACATGATCGCTTGGACAAGAAATTTATTCGCCTGACGTTTCGGACTCCTGCTTGAACGCATCATCAAAGACAAAAGAACAGATACGGGTGATTCATGCACAAGGGGCTGAATTATTTATAGGATGCAGGCGCCATGCTACCGCGTACCTATAAAAATTGAAGGCTCTCCCCCTTCATCAAGGACTGCTGCACCTGGTGTGATGACCGTTTGATGACCGACATTCACGTCGTCGATTACAGAAATTTCATCACGGGTGTTGGATGTTTGTGTGAAGATTGCTCGACCATCTGGTCCACCGGCTCTAGCGTTGGGAACATTTATCGCCTGTGCGCTCCCCGGCTT